AGGAGGTAAGGGCGGCTGACAGGAAGCCTCACACAGATCCGCGCTGCCCGGCTGCGCGCTGGAGCCTCTTCAGGGCTGATGGAGCGACTTGTTTTTATAGCGGCGTTTCTAAGCTCTGTGTTGCGACACGCGGCTGATGCGAGGAGAGCTCACGCGCTCTGCTGTTCTCTTCTTGGTCCTTTCATCTTCAGACGTTCGCTTAGAAACGGCGGCGGCCAGAGCAAAAACCGTGACAACTATACGTCGCTTTGCGTGCGTGAATTCACGCCTGCCTGCATCATCTCTGCTCGTTTTTGCTTAGTTTTTTTCTTTTTTTGAAGCACTATACTGAAAGCGGGCAGCTGTACCTTGCGCGAACCACGAGCTATCTTAAGGTAACCCAGGCGCTCAGACATTTAAAACGTACCCTGTCGCTACTTAGCCATCAGTGAAAATAAACGTAATTTGCACTTTTAATTAACACTTCAAAACCATAGCAGCGCTCTCGCCAAATTCCTACGCAGGCCACTGGAAACTGAAACCGCGTCTGCCGTATCGCACAAACTCTACTCGCTGAAAGACAAACGGGGCTTGTTTTCTCTGCTCTCTTTCCTTAAAGAAATCAGTCCGTAAATCTTAACGTTGTGCTTTTCACGCAGCTCTTTATCCAGAGCGCTACAGAGGAAGGGCAGAGAGCGTGGGCAGAGATGAAAACCAACCTGGCGCACAAGCGTTAAGTGAAAAGTGACTGTGATTCAAAATCCATGCGGAGGACTCGGACGTCGTTTCCCAATACTCTTTTCTCGTTCTTCGCAAAGGAAAGCTAGATGGCAAAAACATCAGTATAATGAATTTTTCAAAGAAACGAAAAAGTACAAATAAGTTTCTCTCCTCTCTTCCCTTAGAGGAGCGGCTGCACCGCATTCGCACGGCTAATGAGCCGGCGGACCGAGGCTCGAATCAATTACACCTCGCTCTCCTTCGCCCCGCTCACGCGTTCAGAGCCATCGCCGGGCATCGAGCAAACTGCATAATGAAGCTGTACCCTGTCAATCACAGCACCAACTGCGTGAATTTTAAGAAGGAAGCAACTGCAGCGTAGGCAATTCAGGAAAAAGAAAAAAAAACCCCACTAACAAAAAGGCAGAGCATTTAGGGCTCCATTTGCAAGTCTCATCAGTTGATTTACACAATAAGCACGCACTATATTGGTCCTGAAAAGGGGCAGATGAAGTTCAGTTGACAGGAAACTGAATTACCTCCCCATATTCTCGCCTACTGAATGTTGCTGTT